TAATTTATAAAATAAGCTGAAACACATAAACTTCGTAGGTTCTCTGTGGATCACAATTAAAATATTAGTTTTGAGCGCAGCTTATGCAAAGAATTGTCCCAGCCAAATAAACTTTAATGGAATGCAGAATGGCGACAGGCGCTAATTATCCGCAACGCCCCCGAGATTGTCTTGTTTAAGAAAAGAAATGCGCCCGAAGAAAATAAATAAGCCAGGATGGGGAGAGGCAAAGAAACAAGCTTAAACAATGGCTGGAAGCTGGGAACTGAAAGCCAGAGCCAAAGCCAAAAGGAAAATAAAAACAAACCAAGGCTAAGGCAACAGAAACAACAACGAGAGCACCAAGATTGCGAAGAGATTAAAACCTCGACCAGGCTTAATTGAGCGGAGCGGCGAGGGAACAGCAATCCACATCGCGTATACGCGATGTTGGCCAGACGCGTGAGCTAAATGCCAAAAACCGAAATGGCAGGGCGAACAAAACGGGGAAATCTCTAGGAAAATACAAAACGTTTCCAACATTGTGATGCAGTGGCAACGCGAAAGGAATGCACCATCGACAGAGACGGCATTAGAGAATGGAGATGCTGGAAAGAGACAGGCAAACTGAACCATTTGGCATTCTTATTTATCCTTTCACCGACTTCAGTTCACATTTTGTATGCAAAATGCGCCAAAGCAAGTACAACAACATCAATGGCAAAGAAAGGAAAAATCTACAATGGCTGGCAACAAAAGTCAAGCCACATGCATTCATTCATTCGGTTTACTCATTTAGTTGCAGTTCTTTTCTCTCATTGCAGTATTCTTCTGGGCAACGACAATTGTAATTTACACTAGGAAAAATATTCTAGAGAATAAAAATAATTCCCTTTATTATTAAGAGTTGCCAACAGACAATACAAGCAATAAACAAATTAAATTAGGAAAGAAATTAAAATTAAAAATTAATCTAAACACCAAAAAAATAAAATAATTATTAATTGATCGATTTTTTTCCCGGTATACTGTTAACAATTGCTGTTGCGGCACACTTGAAGATTTTCCTCGGATGCTGGCGTTGTTGCCACTATTATTATTGTTATTATTGTTGTTCCGCTGCCGAGAGCGAAGAAAGGAGCAGAGAAAGCAGAGAAGGCAAAGAAAAGCTAAGCAAACACAAGTAGCTGGCAACAATAACAAGAGCCGCACCAACAGCACAACAATAACAAATTGTAACATAAACTTTTAGCCGCTGGCATTTTTGTTGACTAAATGCTCGACTTAATTGGCTAACAGTCGAGGGTAGAACAGAATAAAGTAAAGAAAACGAGAAAAATCTGAGGCATTGAAAACTATACTGCAGACTGTTGAAAAGACTTTGGCCTGACCCGATTTGACAAGAAAATAAAATAAAAAAATTATGGAAACAAAAAGCCCACTATGGTCCAAAGGAAAACCAGTTTAAGAAGCAGTCAAATTTAAATAAATTAAATAAATAAATAAAATCAATGACAAATATTTAATATTTATATGAAGCATGAATAAAAATTCTAATGAAACAGTAGAAAGACCGAAATGAAACACAACTAAAATAAATAAAATCAAACAATGCAAAAGTAAAGAAATATTATGCACACACGTTCCACCAATTTAAGTGGCGACAAATATTTACACAATCAAATATTGTTTTAAAAGGAATCAGCTGAATAATGTATAATTAAACGTAAGCATATAATGGGCGAACTAATGTTATTAAAAATCAACTGGAAAAGTAATATACATATTTTCTGACTAAATTTGCAACATAATGAAACCAAATGAGTTTTGAAATAAATCAACATCAATCAATCTCTCTTTTATTCGCCCATTTTTCTCCAATGGACATCGCCATAAGCTAGTTTATCGTTTTTGCATACATCAATTGCAATTTAATTGCCAACTATTTATAGAAAATAAAAGCGATTGAAGCCGATCGATGCTGTTTGCTTTGTGGAAATGCCGCCAAGCGATAAAAATCAGCAACAAATCAGCTTAAAAGTGGCTCAAAAGCCCCTCTCATTTATGGCCGCACAACATGGGAATATGTAAATTTGTTGAGGCTAAATAGTTTTAGCGTCGACTGCAACACGTTCAAGTGATTGGAGGCTACTTCGGCCGGCAAATTGTTTGCTTTTATATGCCATTGCCACGCCCACGTCAGCGCTTAATGGGCGTAAGTGACTGGCTGTGCATATGTGTGTGTGTCCCTGTCATGCTTAATTATTGTAAGTCAACACTTGACTACCGACTGATTTATAAACGTTGTTATTCTCCCTGTTTATGTTGCCCCAACAATGTTGAAAGACAAGGTCGACTTGTTCTCAGCCACTCTGTTGACCACAAAATCCCCTGTGGCCCACGCTGCGTATGCGCAACGCATTGGAAATTCAAGTAAATCACCCGAGCTAGAACATTTATTTGCGGGAAGAACAACAAATGGAATCGAGCATAATTATAAACAAAGTTTGGCTAAGGAATATAAACTGACAAAAGGGGAGGGAAGGGGCGTGGCAGGCATTGCGGCAAATGGCTGAGACAGAGGCGGGGAAACAGCGGGGTCTTTAACTTCTTGGCAACAAACAGCAAACCGCAAATAGCAAAAACAAACACGCAGAGAGTCAGACAAAAAGGGGGGAGTGCATGTTTAGCAAGCCAAAATCAGAGCCAAGTTGTAAGGTTGACCAAAAGACAACAGCAGCAGCGGAAGCAACAAAAACAACAGTTTTGCTGTATTTAAATGGATTTTGGCAACCAGAGTTAGACAAACCCGCAAAGTGCAGCAGCAACAACAACAACAGATGCAGATACAAATACAGATACGGATACGGGAACCGAACACCCACAGCATCGAAATCAGCATGAGAAACCAACTTGGAAACAGGATAACACTGCGAGATTTAATTAAGAGAATAACTTTGAAATTAAATAAATTACTTACAGCCCACAGTTTTGCTACTAGCTTTTTTTGAATAATTAAAAATGGAGTGATGCAGTTTACTGTTTTATTATTAGAGTAATTCAAAAAAGTCTACACACTTTTTTCTCAGTGCTTCGATATTATGTCGCTTGCATGTGTAAGCCAAAGTTTGCATTTGAAGTTGAGAGTTGAGAGTTGGCCGCCGGAGTTGGAGTTGCAATTGCAGTTGAAGTTGCCAAAATACTAAATGTCTATCCGCAATGCCCACAAGCACACACAAGCCAAAATTCACATTCCCAGACAAAGTCAGAGATAAAGCAATATAGATAGAGATGTGGAAGGGATGGGAGAAGGGAAATGCAGAGCCTCAACTCAAATAAAAATGAATAAAAACTTCAACATCTTTTCCCCCACTTGCCTTAAGTTAATTTACACTGTTTTCGGAGCATTTAATAATTGCATTTCAATTGCCATTAGCGGGAAAGCCCTTTAACCCCGACACCAGTCCGCTGAATTTCCCTAATTAGGCTGCTTCTTGGCCGTTTGCCCTCCTCCGCCGCCGACTCATTATTGCCTTCAATTAGCCAACCGCTTACTGCATAAAAATTAATTTAAATTGCTATTTAACTGACCATGCTAAGGCTTTCCCCTCAGTCAACCACCTTGGCTTTTCTTCTTTTCCCCCAAACGAAAATTTGTGTTTCTTTCTCGCTGGGGTTTGAGGATTGTTGAGGCAGGACTTTTCCTAATTAATTTTTGAAAATGTCTAGAAAGGGGACAGCGGACAAATACTTTTCTTATCCTGTGTTCCAGCTGCACTTGAATTTTTGCCAGGGATATAAGATGTAAGCTTCACCCCTGCATCCTGAACTTCAGTTCTAGACAATATGCGTGACATGTTGCAAACTTGTATCGCTATTTTTATAAAACCAAATTCAAAACACACAAGGACAGAGTTTGCAGTAGATTACAGCAGGAGAGGCAAAAAAGAAGGTAGATGGCCATGATAGAACACGTTTTAATTTTGAACACAACACGTCAGCTGGAAGGGGATGAAAATTGGAGGGCAGAGAAAAAGTCAGTTGCTCGGAAAAATGTAAACTTCATTATTAAGAAGGTTGTATATTTTATAAAGGTAATAGTTTATATGAGCACGTTTAATAAAAGCAACAATTTAAAGAAATATTTCAGATATTATTAACTTTAAATAATTGTTATAATTACTTATCTTATTACCATCATGTTAAAGTTCCTTTTATATTATTAGCCGCAATGCTTTACTTCTCTCTTAAAACATTTTTCATTATTTCTTAAAGCTAATGACGCTAAAGCTTTAGAGAACCGCAACAAAGTAAATCTACCTGCTCAGCACAAAAAATATAGCCGAAAAAGAGCGAAAATAAACAGAAGAGGTGGGAATTTAACCCAGTTGCACACATTCCCATTCACATCGCTCAAAAGCAACGCTTGCCACCTCAACTCAAACATTTTCGCCTAGGTGTTAAAAATAAAAAGCTGTCAGTGCTGGGGACTCATTTAGTCCCTGCAGCACACATGTAAGTTTCGGGGGGCTTGGGATACCTGACTCACCTGTAATGTTCTTCTTTCATTCACCCCCTTATCCGCCCCTGGAATCAATCCGCCCTTTATTTGCCAACCCACCCCCCTTTCCACCGACTAGAGTCACGTCCCTGGCGTTGTCATAATGAATTCAGCGTTTATGGCGCTTATTCCATTTGGTTTCATTATCAGTATGTACATGTGACCCCCAGCCACCCCCATTTGCCACCCCCTCTGTAATGTCATGTGCGTGGGGAACGGGAGGGGCGAGAAGGGGGTGTTAGGATGGTGTCATGAACTTTTTGGCCAAAGTGGGAAAGAGAGGGCCAGGACACAAAGCGCATTACAAACATTTGAAGTTGAAAATTGAGGCTGAAGGTTGTATTTGTGTTTTTGCTGGAACAACGTGACAGTTTCAACTTAATTACGTAATCATAGGAAATTGGTTTTTGTGAACTAGCAATCATCTAACCATTCTCTATCTATTTTGCCACTTTTGCAGGTTCGCACACTTTTTGTCAGCGGTTTGCCCATGGACGCCAAGCCGCGTGAGCTTTATTTGTTATTCAGAGCCTACGAGGTGAGTGTTTTTAAAAGTCTAAAATAAATGAAAATTATTTTTAAATTTATAATTTCTAAATAAACAGGGCTACGAAGGATCTCTTTTGAAAGTAACGAGCAAAAATGGCAAAACTGCATCGGTAAGTACAACATCAAATAGAAAAATTCATTTTAAAATTACATTTTTATTTTTTGTTTTGTTTTAACTTTACAATTTTTATAATTGATTTTTTTAATTCTCCACAGCCCGTTGGCTTTGTGACATTCCATACAAGAGCTGGAGCTGAGGCAGCTAAACAGGATCTACAGGTAATTATTAAAACTAAATCAATGTTTAAGCGTTGTATAATCGAAAGAACACCAACATGATTTAGCAATTTTTTTGTGCAATACGACAAAATGAAAATCCCGAAAAATTTATTCTCAGCGACGGCAAAAAGAAACTTACACTTTTAACATAAAAATTGTAAAGCACCGAAAAAAGTACTGAACCTACAAAATATGAAAATACTTGTATACTCGTATTGCCTGGCTTAAATACCGTTAGGCCCCCGACGCCGCAGCTCAAAAATCGAGCCTCAAGCTCCTTTTGCATCACCCGAAAATCAAAAAAAAAAAAAAAAAAAAAACAATAGCAAACAAAACGAACAAACAAACAACAAGAATCCACACGAACACGTGCTTGCATTTGAAAAGAAACGAAACTTTTAAATTTCACCCAATCGCATTAAGTGTTTCCCTCTCTGTCTAGCCTTCGCTGTCCCGCTCTCTCTATCTCTATCTCTCTCTATCGTTCTATATACCTCTATGTCTCTCTCTAACTTCTCATTGAGTTGTCTTATTGTTTTTGGTATCTGCATCCCCCTCCCTTTTATTTGCTCATTCTACGAAACTCTTTGACACGCAGAGAACACAACTACACACGTAAACTGGTACACTCATCACACCCACACACACACACCGTCATCTCTGGCAAACCAAAATCTGCAAAAATGGCAAAAGCAAAAAGCACCAACAACCAGAAAAGCAACCAAATGAAAGCAATGTCTCAAGCCTGTGGTGCATGTCCCCCCCTCCCCTTGCCACGCCCCTAGGAGCCACCTTGCCCCCTTGAAAGAGCACTCTAAAACTCCTAGGAATTACTAGTAATGATCCCTGGACTTTTTGACGACCCATAACGAGTAACATAAGATTCGCCTTAAAAGAAACCCAAACTTTTGGGATCAGCAAAAGGATTGTTTTTAAAAATAAATATTCTTGGTTCTCTATTTCGGTTTATCTACATTTTGTTTCATAAAAACTTTTGAAAGAAATCATACTGTTTTGGTGCTAAATAATTAATAACAAACCAAAACCATTGGTTGTTTGGGGTTCATCATACCAAAAATGAACAAATATTTGAAAACAAATTTTTTCATATTATATTTAATGAAATTTTCCAAAATTTTTGATCACTAAAACCAATTTCTGCCTCTTTAAGACCTCCCAAATAGTAACCCACAAAGCCAAAACCAGCTCCCACGAACCCTCTACCTACTTAAAACTCAGATTACAGAGCAGGCACCATGCAATACCAAATCTACGTTGAATGTTTCCCGTTCCAAATACCTCAAGCAATAGCTCCTCAAAAAAAAAATGAAACATATTTTCTACCACCATTTTTTTTAAACGTTACTTTCACGCGACATTCAAAATTATTTTTGGCGAATTGTTGCAAAAGAAATACTTGAAAAATCCCCTCCGAAACTTTTGAACTTTGCTGAAAGAATAAATTACATGAAAAAAAAACTAGAAAATACAAACCGCTGTATTTTGATCTGATCATTTACAGCAGGGTGTACGCTTCGATCCCGATATGCCCCAAACAATTCGCTTGGAATTCGCCAAGAGTAACACGAAAGTGAGCAAACCCAAACCACAGCCCAATACAGCGACAACAGCCTCACATCCTGCATTGATGCACCCACTCACTGGACGTAAGTAAAAAATAAAAAAAATAAAAAATCAAAAGAAAAACCAAATACCAAAATGAGAACTCGGCAGCTGCTAATTTCTTTGATTTTGTTTTGTTTTCCTTTTGTGTATGTAGTTGATATTTATGAAAAACCAATAATATGTTTAAGGGTACAAGAAATCCGAACGTAAGGCGTACTCGAGCACCTCCTAACTATCGACAAAGCCACACGAAAAACACACCAAACACACCGAACACTCACACACTGATAAACCAAGATCTATCCAACAATTGAGCAGTTGAAAATGTTAAATATTGAATTGAACAAAACGAAACCTAACTTGCTTCAAGTGCACACAACTCTATATATACAAATATATATATCAGCAAATATGTATCGTAAATACTTTTGTATGCTATATCTATCATAAGAAATTGTTATCTCTGCATACTTCGAGTCGCTATTGAGTTATATATATATATTCCCTACTAGGTTACAGCAACAATAACTACAACATCTATTTATAATGTACTGCACTTTGATCACTTGTAACACTTTGTGCAACTCACACACACGCTCAGAAACACAAAGACCATACACGCCTACCGTAAAAAAACCGAAGAAACTAAGCCAAAGAGCTAAAGGAGAGTACTGACAAACGTGCCGATAAAGTTTAGAGATCCTAAAAAAATAGTCTAACATTTCTATATAGTTATTAAACCAAGATGCATTAAAGTCCTAAAGATTAAAAGCTCATAACGTTCTAGCTAAATTCTAATCTTCATTCAAAAAAAACAAAAGACTGAGACAACGAACTTTAAACATATGAAAAAATAATTTGTTAATTAATTTTTTTTGTTGTTTCGTTTTGGAAACCGTTCTTGTTTTTACCATTTAGATTTTTGTCAACTAAAACCAGTGTTTAATACTCAAATAGTACCCCACTTAGGTGAGCTGTCATCTGATTTACCATACTATCTCTCTTCTCGACTCACAGATCTGGGTGGGCCCTTCTTTCCGGGCGGACCGGAGCTATGGCATCATCCGCTAGCCTATTCGGCAGCCGCGGCCGCTGAATTGCCAGGAGCAGCTGCCCTGCAGCATGCAACGCTAGTGCATCCGGCCCTGCATCCGCAGGTGCCAGTGCGCTCCTATCTCTGACTAAATACAGACAAAGTAATGGAGCAGCCTATGCATCAAGTAAGTGGATGAAATGTTTATATATTTACGATTGCCCTGGGAAAATATCAGTCATTTGCTGTTTTATAATGCCCATAAATAATAATAATTAAATTTAGGAATGATCATTCAAGATTACTCACACGCTAAAGCTAAAAAACTTAGTTTGACGAGTCGTATGAGTAATATTTTGGACATAATTAGAATTTATGACAATTGTAATTTACTAATAACTTTGCTTAAACTATTAAGACAATTACATTTAAATGTCTGCTTGTAAGGAAATATATTTTTTAGGGTTGACGCATGTGTAAATCAAATAAAAATATTTTTTTCAAGAATACGTGAGGCATAACAGGTCGTATGAGTAATATTCTTTATGGATACTTAGAGTATAATAATTTATACTTTGTATTAATTAATCTTATTAAAATTAATCTTAAATTTAAAGGACAGCGGCAATTGTGAATTTTTTTATAAAAATGTCTTTGAAATGTTATTGAAAATTATTATAATTAATTTCCAGACTCAAATGACCATGCCGCCACATCATCAGACAACTGCTATTCATCCCGGAGCTGCGATGGCTCACATGGCTGCTGCTGCGGCGGCCGCAGCTGCCGGCGGGGGTGGTGGAGCGGCGACCGCTGCTGCTGCACCGCAGAGTGCCGCTGCGACGGCCGCCGCCTCTGCCGCTGCCGCGGCTGCTGCCTCGCACCACCACTATCTGTCGAGTCCGGCTTTGGCCAGTCCCGCTGGATCCACGAACAACGCCAGCCATCCGGCCAATCCGCAGATCGCCGCCAATGCGCCCTGCTCCACGCTGTTTGTGGCCAACCTGGGGCAATTCGTGTCCGAACACGAGCTGAAGGAGGTGTTCTCTAGGTAAATGCCACACAAATGACTCTCTCAAGACCTTGGATTTTTTTTTTGATCAAGACACATTGAAAAATGCACACTGAAATCAGCACAGGATAAACCACCAGCAGCCACAGTAAAAACCACCCGAAAATCACGATCACGATCACACATAACCACCAGTTAACAAACCACTACTTTGATGGCACCTTGTCAACTCTCTTAACCGAAAATACTAACCGAAAACTTTTGCGTTCTCTTCCTTGGTTCGTTTGTTGCCCACCATCCCACCCACGATCACTCTTCTTGTATGATACATGATAACCGATATATATATATCTAACAACAATCAAATATATATACCCAACTATGATATATAATATGCACAGTATGCCTGGCTTTTGTCGCCTACGAATGCACACAAAAGGTATGCACCCAATCACAACTTCTATGCCTATGACTTTGTCTTCAACTCTGACCTCAACAAAACCAACTTCAACTTCCTACTCCACAACAACAAATACGACCACATCTGCGATTGCGATGGCGACTGATCCACCAGCCATGGCAGCAGCAACTGGCTCAAGCTGCTCCACCAGTAGCAACAACAACAGCAACAACGGCAACATCGCTGCGGTGCAGCAACATCCGGTGGCATTCATCGAGTTCAAGGACCCACCGACCGCCTCCCAGGCCATGCAGCAGCTGCAGGGTAAATATCTGCTCAGCTCGGATCGCGGTTCCATTCGCATCGAGTTTGCGCGCAGCAAAATGATCAACGAGCTGGCCATAATGAACAGCAAGGCACCGCCACCACCACCGCCAGCCATGAGTGTTGCTGCTGCAGTAGCAACGGCACCGCCACCACCTCCACCACCACAATCCATGTACATCCTGAACGGCGGCGGAGGGGTCGAGCACCTGCTGGTACCGGCACCACCGCCGCCGACACAGCAGCAGCAACTCCACATGCAGCAACTGCAACAGCAACTGCAGCTACAGCAGCAACATCAGCAAATGCAGCACCAGCACCAGCAGCAACAGCAACTTCAGCAGCAGCAGCAACTTCAGCTGACCGTGGCAGCACCCTGCACCACAGCAAGCACCACCACCAACAGCACCACCACTAGCGTTGTTGTTAACTCACTACAGCACCACCAACTTCATCATCCAAATCAGCACCACCAAAATCATCTCTTTAGAGACGTATGTATTATTCTGGGTGAACCAAATGAACCAAGTTTCTTCTAAGTCTGTGTAGCGTAGTCTAACCCCTAGAATTGAGTGCTCCACCACCATTATCATTAGTTGATCCACAGCCACTAAACTGCACACGAACAACCACCCACCCCTTTGGCCCATAAATATTAGAATAAGCCATTCAATCCGCAAAAAGGTTTCGGCCAGGCCCAAAAAAATCCCTCATATGCATGACCCACAGACAAAAACCCAAAACCATTCCGCTGGCCCTAAACAAAATAAAAGGCAACCCTATTAAGTATTTATAAAATTTTGCAAATTGTTATTGTTAAGCTTGCTCGTTTACTTTGCATGCTACCTCCACCACCAACACCACAACAACAACAACAGCAGCAACATCAACAGCAAGCAACAATCCAGCAGCAATCAGCAACAACAAGTAAGAACCTACCTAAGGGATGGTGCCTACCAAAAACCATATGAGTTTGGTCCGGAGCACTCACACCCCCACACACTTGGCCATAACAATTGGAGCCGCATTTAAATTCAAATTATAGCACACAAAAAGTTAGCAGGCCAGCAACATTCATGGCTCAAAGAGAGAGGATGGGCAAATGGGTGGTGCTGGTGGGACTTCCTCATAGACATCCGTTCCGTAAATGCCAGCTTCCGTTGGGAGACTGCTGCCCAGGCCAACCCACTGACTTAAGCACCACTATATCTCTCTTTCGGCCACCTCATGTGGGGTGTGACTCACGTATTTCAAAGGCCAAAAGACCACATAAATTTATTTTTTCAATTTGCTGCAAGAAAAAGCAACAGCAGCAGCAGCAAAACTTCATAAAAAATGCAAAAATTAAACGCAGCATGCCACACCCATATTGCCATACACATAACCCACTTGACTGCCCCACCAACAACTTAACCACTGCAGCAACAACGTTAAACGTTCGAGCTTTAAACCATTTTTGTACAAGGCATGAACTTTTCTTTACTTTGTTGTAGGTTGTTTGCCTGACAACCAATTTACATATTGAGGGGTGAGCATGTTTGAGTTGCAATAAATTTTATAGCCATAAATTTGAAAATTAAAAGTATAAAGAAAACGTGCTAAAAATGTTTTTAAATCAAGAAAATCTGACTATTAAAAATACTTTAAAACAATTTTAAAAAATATTTTCTATTTATAATTTAAGCCTTCTTTTAGTACCTACCTTTTAAAAATAGTTTTCTTGAACCCCAAAAATCTACAGGTCACTAAAAAGAGATTTTAAAATATATGTAGTCCACGCATGGGTAGTCATAGCCACTAAAATAGCCAGCATGTTTAGCCACCAAGCACCACCGAAACCCGTAGATAAACCACAACTCACACTGACAAAAACTAACTATTGCTTTCGTTTTGATAATTATTTTCAGAGGAGCGGGTATGGAATCACGGCATGATTTGCTCGCTAAGAAGCTAGAGCGCGAAATGCAGCAGCAGACGCAAGTGCACCACCAGACGCAGCAGCAGCACCACCATACAGCCGCGGCGCAGCACTACCACCACAGCCACCAGACAGCGCACCACCAGCACCACCAACAGCAGCAGCAGCAGCAACAACAGCAGCAACAGCAGGCCCAACAGCAACACCTGAGCCACCACCACCACCACCACCATCTTCATCATCAGCACCATCAGCAGCAACAGTTCTTGATGACGCCGACAGCAACCTGACCCGGTGGCAATTTGAGCCACCATTATGCGACGACGACGACGACGCAGCACCACCAGCTCCACCACCACCAGCCGCACCACCAACAGCAGCAGCAGATGCAGCCGCACCACATCTACTCGTACGTCCTGCCGGCGGTCAGTCACATAGCAGCCTGATGGGATAACATTTGAGTTTGAAATCGACAGGCAAACAGAGCTCCGCATGCAACGGATTCATGCGAGGAGGCAAACCTTTAGTTCTAGATATAAACAAAAAAAATATTTAAAAAATGCAAAAAAAAAAACAAAAAAACCAAATGGAAAAATCGCAAAAAGAAGTTAATTTATATGTGACAGGAGGACAGGAGAAGAAACAAACAGACCCCGTATAACCCAGTTTAGTGAAATTTTTCGACAGGCAACAAAAACAGATTTGTAGTGGAAACCAAAAACGGGATAAACATGTAGTAAAATATACAATTTACGATAGATCGGAAGCTGAGCGAACTACTTAACTAAGTTAGTTGCAATACAGCCGATATGCCCCTATAAACGAATACACACATATATACATAAACCTATATATATAGATTATATATAGAATGCTGATCAAGAATTTGTTGGTTATTTTACACCGTTTCAATGTTTTTTTTTTTTGAAGCTTGATGAATTGATTTTGTTCAGTCGTTTTTGTTTGAGAAAAATATTATTATTTTTATTTATTGTTACTTGCTCTCTCATTCATACCCGAACCTAACCGACTTTCAACAAATGGAATTGAGACATGAAATTCGTATTACTTTTATAATTTCGATTATTTCGTCGTTAAATCAAGCAGTGTAAGGGAATAAAATATATAAACAAAGTATAAGGATGAAGAAAGTATATAATTATAGCTTAACCGAATGTGCCCTTTAAATAGCTCTCTTTCTAGAATTATGAAAAATAATATGAAACAAAACCAAAACAATTTAAATATATGCATTAATGTAATAATTGTATAACTAGTAAGGTAATTTTGAAAATGTTACTCAACAAGAAAATTCTACAAAACAACCACAACGAGTAGTCGACGTCATCGTATAAATTTAAATTTATATTGAGGAATACTGAAAGCTGGTTTCGAAATTTATTTGTTAAAAACGTAAAAGCGTAAGAATAACAACATTTAGATGTGAATTTGAAATTTACCCGATAGGACCTATCGACGACTTGGGATGAACGTTGCAGGTGCGCTGTAGTGAAGCAAAGACTCGAACAAAATGATTTTTAAAAAAGCAAGAAAATCTGAAACGGAACTTTAACAGAAACTGGAACAGGACACTCTAAACTTTCCGCCCAGAAAAGAATACGTTTTTTTTCACCATTTTTGTTGAGAATTTTCTGCGTTTCCCTTACAAAGACTTGACTAACTTTACTAGAGGGCCCCCAACCTAAAGGACTCCATCTAAATAAAGAGAAACTATTCCTAACTAACTTTCGAAATGCTAGAACAATCAAATCACATTTCTTGCTAAACCAACGATCGACTTAGTAGGGGGAGGGCTCAGGACGAGATCGGATGAGGAGAGATCGGAGATAATGGGAGGGTGGGGAGAGTGTAGAAGAGGTAACAGCAAACAAGGACGAGTAAATAAAATCAATTGCATATCATCTTACGTAGCAAGCATAAATCGAGTATGTATAACTACAGAAAAGGACAAAGACAAATTCAATTGTAACTAAACGCAAGAAAACAGCAGAAACCAACTACAATTAATTATAAAACAATGTGAAGCCTAATGGCCTACAACTATATATAGTTAAATACGAAGAACAATTTATAAGCAAGCTTTTTACATAATAATTTTCTAATGTTTTTTGAAAGAGTTCGTTCAGCCTTGTTTAAACCAATTTAAGTATATATACATACGGATAAAATCTTACAATTTTACCAAAGTTGTCCTTACTAATTTAACAAGTTATGTTAATTACTTCACACACAATTTGTTTAACAAAAAACATAAAAGACCCACGAGTAAATCAACTAATTTTAAATGTTTTTTAAAGCTTAGTTTAGGCTAAATGTGACTAGACATACCAAAGGCATATTTGACAAAAAAAAAAACACGCAATTGTTAAGAGAAAATATGAAAAAAAACAATTGAAAACATTATCAATTGGTAAAGTTTTAGCCCTTTTCTATACATTTTTCTTTAAGATTTACCTATTTTATTTCCTGTCTAACTTTAGTCGAATGTAAAATGCATATTCCGTCCAATTACATTTCGTGCTTTCCTCTTGCCCAAAAAATCATCTCTTCGCCAGCATCGCGTTGGTTTGAAAATCATCATTCAACGTTAAGAACAGAGGTCTACTTATAAGTCTGTAATCCCAAGACACACACACGCACACGCTCACCACAAAGACAAGTAAATTAGTTAAAGTTTTAGTGTATAAGCAAGGAAATGTTTAATTATACATAATATACTAATGCATATCATAAAATTGCGCCTTTCAAAACAATTAAAAAACGAACAAGAAACCCGATGATGGAAAACAAAAATATTTACAACTACAAATAAGCATAAATAACGAAACAAAAATTAATAGATGCTAAAGTATGAAACAAATATTTTCGAAATTAATTTTTAGCGCCTAAGTGAGGTCAAAGAGCCCCATAGTATGCAACAAAAAGCAATGGAAGTACGCATAAGTGCGTGAGTGTGCAAGTGTGTGTGCATCTGGGAAAATCTTGTGCAATTTTCATTGAGGGAAAACCAGCGCGGTGGCAAGGTTGTTCAGTCCCCACCCCCAATAACCATTTCGAGGCTTGATTTCCAGACATTCTATAATCTAAATTTCATAGCTATATACATCCAGATCTAACAAATCTGCAGCATGCAAATATTAAACTAGAAAATTGGGAATATCTCGACAACACCAGAAGAAGCAAAAGAGGAATAACCTAGCTCGTAAACGATAAACTAAAGAAAGCTAAAATGAATGAATGAATGACAGAAAACCTAAACTAAACAATATGAATTATGGGAACATTATATGAATATATATACACACGCATATATTACAACATTTTTGAAAGAAACGAAAACTAAATAATAACTACAAAGGAAGAAAAATAACAAATACATATCAGCAAACGGATAAAGAACAAAATAAGAAGAAACTTTTACAAGAAAAATTATTAAGGAAACATAAAACCGATATGTTTTGATGTGGTTTTTAAATTTTTAAACATTGTAAGCGTAAAAAGGCAGAAAAGCAGTTACCAAAAAGGGGAAGAAAGCATAACTGATTGAAAGCTTAGTAATAGATTATGGAACTACTTACATAAATGCTAGCTATATGCTTACATAGTAACGGCATATCTACATATGTGGCAGCAGTAATAGAAAGACAGTAAACAGTAACAGTAATGATAAAACAGTAACAGTAAATATTATATTCTATTGTATTTATTGTATTTGCTATCATTGGCGTCTCGGTAATATTTTCATTGCGTTATTGATTCTTGGTTTACTTTAAGTTCCCTCCCAAATTGCCTTATGTTTGCCTAAAAACTAAATTATAAACAATTCAATACTAATTTCTAAGTAATTTATATGTATATGTATTGTATACCTCTATTATAAACCCATATATAAATATACTTATATCATTTGTGTAGCCTTAACTTAGAACTTTTCAATTGACGGTATTAATTATGCATAATAAAACTTTATATTTTGTTCGTTAAACAAACTCATTATTGTTTCATTCAAGTTCACACACACGCGATAAACCTTTGAAGAAACGAATTTTAAATTAGTGAAAATTTTTGCAAGAAAATTAAAACCAACTATACAATTACATATATTATACTACATATATGAATCTCTCCCCACTTAAAGTTTTGAGTCATTTGCGGGAGAGCCAACTAGAAAAGCATTATACTCAACCACAACTGGCTATTAACGGAACAGAGAAATTCGCTGTACATTTGTAATACATAAAGTACTATGCATATCTATATACAGACAGGCGTATGTATAGTATCTATAGAAAGTTAAGTAGGAAAGGAAACTGATATTGAATATTGAAAATATCAAGGCAGAGGTAGCGGAAAACCAGCAGAAAAATGAAGATAACACAAGTCAAAACATATCAAACTCGTGCCCGATTAAAACTATATATACACATATATATACACTATATATAAATGAAAAGCAGCCACAAATTATGCGCAGCAATTTTCAATGGTATAAGAAGGAGATGAAATGATGAAGTTATTTAACAAAAACCGAAAGTCTAACGGGAAAATGCAATTTTTATTTGCATAACTCAAAGTTGAGTCTACTTTTATCCGTAAATAATACGAAAATAATGATTAATATTAATTAAAAGATTAAAACTACAACAAATGGCAAATATTTGTCTATTTTGAGGCTCATTTATTTAAAATTTTCGCGAAACAAAAGTACGACTTTCTTTTTAAAATCGAATAAAGATCTTTTGCTAATATTGTAAAAAACAAATTGATTTTTCAAAGCAAATGAAAAAGAAAACTTATAGCTAAATATTATTATAAAACTTACATAAAGCAGAAACAAACTCGTATATATATAAATATAAATATCAGCCTTGTTCTTTATATATATATTTAAAAAAAAAAAAACAAAAAAAGAAAAAACCATACAAAATATTAATAAATTATTAACTACTATAAAAAATGGATACAAAAACATAAAAAATATTTAGCGAAAATATTGTATTGTGAGTTTAAATGTATTGTTGCATACGAAACCAAAGAAATGACATAACAAATCGGTACAGTTAAGTTAAATGTAAAACTAAATGGCAATACCAACCGATTGGCAGTGACAGTTGATTGACAAGAACAGAACCGAAAAGATCAGAGGCGAACCGAAACAGAATGAAAGGTGAACCATTTTTTCACAGACAGCAACCAGCGATAAGAACTAAAACGAAATTGAATTCAATTAAAATTACCAGGCAGATTATTTCAATTCAATAATAGCAGATGATGGGCAAGCCCGCAAGACAAATTATACAATTTGATAATGATAATATTTTCAAGCGATCACGATCGATGAGGCACAAACGATATGCCCTGCAGCTAAAGGGGAAGCAGAACAACAAATCGCAGTTTGCAGCAGGCGACAAATTATAATAATAATAATACGAATAATAAATAAAAACTTTAACAATTGTTTTGTGTAATTGTAAAGAACTGGAATTTGTTGTGCCACAAGATGGACTGGGCGATAATTGTGAAATTGGATCGACTCGCAGCGGTTTGTATTATGAGGTAAGATTTCTGATCGAAAAAGCAGACAATAATGGTTTTTACTTTTTAAATTTAAATAAATTTATTTCAAAAAAATAAGTCACTTAGTAAAATAAATCTTTTTGACTATTTGAATTTTTTAATTGGATTTTGAATGCACACTTATGTAATCCTAGTAGGGTGATTTATATATTCGTTATAGCTCAATTTTTAGTTACTCGGCTTATCGCTCAGCTCCGTGTTTGAATGATCTTTGGCAATATGTTGCTAACCTCTCAGTTGATAAGCTGGGTACATAAACCCCAAAAAGGGTCACTTACTCAAACGTCCACTTTTAAGATAAAGCAGGACAAACAGGAAGAGATACCAGCTTTTATTTGTTTTATCCTTTCTACCTGGTGAATAAATTGAAAACGATTGACAAAGATACCTCACTTTGATTGAGACACCCTGTATGCGGGCAGCTGTTGATTGGCTTGGATTCATTATCTCTCATTTAGTTGTTTTCCGACCGAGCAACTTGAAGGTTGTAAAATGAGATCTCTGTGCTTTGTCTTGCTGCTCGTTTGGTTTTCATGCCAAAGCGAAGCAAAAGTGTCCTGTAAGGATGAGTCCGGAAACGATGTGGATTGGTATGTATACTTTTAGCACTGTTTTGCTGTTCAGCACAAAAGAAAACAAAATTGCCCTCTTAAACGATTTATTTTTGTAAATATTGTCATTATTAAAACACATTTTTTTTTGTTTCATTGATATTGCTGTTTACACGTCATTAAACATTTGCAAACATACATTCATTAACAGTTATTTGGTTCTATATTTATAATGCGGTTAATCACAAGTAAACCAATATAAATATTTCGGAATGTGATAAGCATTTTTAAAGCTTTACGAGTTAAAATTCTAAAATGAAGAAATGCTTTCATATTAAACAACAAAGAAATTTTATAAAATCTATAGGCACATTACATTTCTGCCACTTTTCACTACACATTTTGTAAGAATAAATTAAACATTTTTTTCTTTATTAAACTTATCAATTAATAAAATTTATATTTTTTGACATTTTATTATTTTATTCCATTTTCTTAGGTGGCACCTTTACAAGTTGCCGAAGCACTATCAGCACAACGACTTGGGCAAGGACACCAGTGGCTTGAAGTACCTGTATGTGACTAGCCAGAACTACGACACCTGGCAAATGTCCGGGAAGTTCATCAGTGACCCCTTGTCCCTGCCAGCCCAGACCCTCAACCCCGTGAACGCTGATCCCACCCACACCCTGCTGGCCGCCTACAACGATCAGCTGCCCAATGGAACTGTCTTCAGCACTGGCGGCCATGCCAAAGGAATTGTGGCCAGTGATGGTGAGACGGCCATTTGGATTGTCCACTCGGTGCCCAAATATCCCACTGTTCCCGATTATACCTATCCCACCTCCGGTGAGCAATACGCCCAGAGTATGCTCTGCATCACGCTGAAGGCTGAGGATCTGGAGAAGGTGGGTCAGGTGCTGGTCTACAATGAACCGCACTTCTACTACGAACGCAATCCTCTGGTCAGCCGATCCGATGAGCTATTTCCGAGCTTGGAGAGGGCACTACATGGCCAGTGGCGTACGGAATCGCCTTTCCAGAAGGACGTAGAGATCCGCACTTTGGATGGCAAGAAGTTCCGACTGTTTGGAAAGAGTGGTCGCGCCAATGTGGAGTTGTATGCCGATGTTGTGGCCCCCGCTCTTGATGTCAGTCTTTTCGTGGAGGCGTGGCGCGATGGTAGCGGCAATTTGCCAAATAGCTGCGATAAATCCGATAAGATCCTCAACGTGGAGGCTATTTCCAGTCCGGCGCTATCGGTGGACTTTAGGACCACCCAGGATCACTCAAAGTGGGCCGTTTCCCGCCCCACGGGCGTTCTGATCTACCACTGGCGTGTTGGCGGCGGCGACTGGATTTGCGTGGGCGATATCAACCGCCAGCAGGGTCAGTTGCAGAGGGGCGGCGGAACTGTCTGCCACAAGAGCTCCAGGGTCTCCAATTTGTACCGCCAGCTAGTCGCCAACTACGACAAGTGTGCCGAGGTGCAATAGACTGGTGCTATTTTCCTGAATTTTCAAATAAAAGAACATTTTGTTACTTGCATTACAAAATAAAGAATATTGCGAATTTCTTTCAATTTGATAAATGTTTGAATTTGATTAGCAACGAATATAATAAATAAAGCAAGTTTGTTAAGAGATCATTTTAAATTCTTAGTTTTGAGTCTAATTAGATTTTACAGGTAAGGGCCTTCATCTTCGATAGGTACACTCTAGCGCCAATTTTTCCTTTAATTCTTGACGGTAATTTTATGAACTAGACCTACCGTCATAAACTCATAAAGAAGATGGCGCCAGTTTAAAGTTATTATATTTTATAATTGACGTAACAAATATAATTATTTTACAATTTTCACTATTTTTACTTAGCCTTATAAAATTTAGCAATTATCATTATAATTCAACGGTTTGCCAGAAAACATTTATGGCGCCACCTATTTCTCACTTTATTTTTTTTCGAATACGTATACAGTGAGCACAAAAATGATTCTGACACTCATCACTTATTACTTTATTTAATTTATTTAAAGCCTAGTACTCAGTACGACGAAAACTGCTAGCTAAGCATAGGAGTAAGCGAGAGGCAAATAGGTAGCTAAAGCCTTTAGCTGGGACTTTTTTCCACCGCGGTACTCAGTTGAGCTAAGGAAATAGTGAGAAAATACCACAAAAATACTAGATTTAGCGGATGAACTCCGATGAACGCCTTTAGCCGCCGACCAAAGAATAAAAAATTTGATCTTTGCCTGTGTATGTGCAGAAGCGGTGTGCCAATAACAAATTATAAATGGAAGGAAAACCCTAAAAACTGCCTGTAGGAGTTGCGGCAATTCATATCTCCATGCCAACAGCAAATTTAAAGCTTGCGACCCAGGTCGGCTCAACATTTTGTAACATTTCAAAATTGGCGCCAGTTGATTTGTTTGCTGAGAGTAAGACCATGCTACATGCATTGCGGATGAAGTCCGAAAACTTCGGCCACACTAAAAGATTAATATTTTTCGACTAGTAAAACTCTTAGCCCAACTGAGTACTAGGCTTTAAGCCTAGTACTCAGTACGACGAAAACTGCTAGCTAAGCATAGGAGTAAGCGAGAGGCAAATAGGTAGCTAAAGCCCTTAGCCGGGGACTTTTTCCCACCTCGGTACTCAGTTGAGCTAAGGAAATAGTAAGAAAATACCACTAAAATACTAGATTTAGCGGATGAATTCTGATGAACGCCTTTAGCCGCGGCCCAAAGAATAAAAAATTTGATCTTTGGCTGTGTTTGTGCAGAAGCGGTGTGCCAATAACATATTATAAATAGAATGAAAACCCCAAAAACCAATGGAAAACTGCCTGTAGGAGTTGCAGCAATACATATCCTCATTCCAACAGCAAATTTAAAGCTTGCGACCTAGGTCGGCTAATCATTTTGTAATATTTCAAAATTGGCGCCAGTTAATTTGCTTGCTGAGAGTAAGACCATTCTACATGCATTGCGGATGAACTCCGAAAACTTCGGTCACCCTAAAATATTAATATTTTTCGACTAGTAAAACTCTTAGCCGAACTGAGTACTAGGCTTTAAGCCCTTAGCCGGGGACTTTTTCCCACCTCGGTACTCAGTTGAGCTAAGGAAATAGTAAGAAAATACCACTAAAATACTAGATTTAGCGGATGAATTCTGATGAACGCCTTTAAGCCTAGTACTCAGTTCGGCTAAGAGTTTTACTAGTCGAAAAATATTAATATTTTAGGGTGACCGAAGTTTTCGTAGTTCATCCGCAATGCATGTAGAATGGTCTTACTCTCAGCAAGCAAATTAACTGGCGCCAATTTTGAAATATTACAAAATGATTAGCCGACCTAGGTCGCAAGCTTTAAATTTGCTGTTGGAATGAGGATATGTATTGCTGCAACTCCTACAGGCAGTTTTCCATTGGTTTTTGGGGTTTTCATTCTATTTATAATATGTTATTGGCACACCGCTTCTGCACAAACACAGCCAAAGATCAAATTTTTTATTCTTTGGGCCGCGGCTAAAGCCTAGTACTCAGTACGACGAAAACTGCTAGCTAAGCATAGGAGTAAGCGAGAGGCAAATAGGTAGCTAACGCCTTTAGCCGGGGACTTTTTTCCACCTCGGTACTCAGTTGAGCTAAGGAAATAGTAAGAAAATACCACTAAAATACTAGATTTAGCGGATGAATTCTGATGAACGCCTTTAGCCGCGGCCCAAAGAATAAAAAATTTGATCTTTGGCTGTGTTTGTGCAGAAGCGGTGTGCCAATAACATATTATAAATAGAATGAAAACCCCAAAAACCAATGGAAAACTGCCTGTAGGAGTTGCAGCAATATATATCCTCATTCCAACAGCAAATTTAAAGCTTGCGACCTAGGTCGGCTAATCATTTTGTAATATTTCAAAATTGGCGGCAGTTAATTTGCTTGCTGAGAGTAAGACCATTCTACATGCATTGCGGATGAACTCCGAAAACTTCGGTCACCCTAAAATATTAATATTTTTCGACTAGTAAAACTCTTAGCCGAACTGAGTACTAGGCTTAATCTTTATGATATCATTTATGTTTTTTGATGTAATATATTTGCTGTAATTGTCTACTGTTTAATTTTTTTGGGATATATTTAAGTTGAAAAGGACAAGTGTACCAACAATTTTTGTGCTGACTGTATATACCAGAAAAAACAAAATTCAGTATGACCGTTGTACTGTAAACAGCTGTTTACAAAAACAAAACCAAGCGAAGCAGCGAAAAATATTTGCAATATATCAGATTTAATTTAAAAAGGGTTTTTAACGAGTGCATCTGGAAAAAGCACCTCGGTCTAGGAATGTTCTGCTGCCTACGCACCTGCCTGAATGGCGGACACATGAGGAAACCCACGGCAGCTGCAAGTCGCCTCCGGGAGCCCGATGTTCACCTGGATGCAGCGCATATGGGTAAAATTTAATAGAACAAATACCATTTCATTGGGACTGGCATCCTTGATAAGGATTATTATTCCACTCATAATAATCAAGCTCTTTAAGAACTTTGGTTCTCTCCCTAAAATCGTACGATTTTGATTTCCAGTCAGTTTGATTTGATAATGGATAAGCAACAACATAGATAAAGATAATAATGATATGGTGATAAAAGTAGTACTGTTCCAACAGAAATGTAAATCGATTTTAAACCTTATTGCTTTTTAAGTTTTAAGAAGGCTTTTGTTAACTGATTAATATCTCTTCCACTTTGCAGGACCTGATGTAATCCTGCTGTCGCATCAGCTGCGGGTCACGGGCACCGGTGGCGTTTTGGCCACAGCTCCTTTGGTCCAGTCGAAATCCTACTTCGAGGTGAAGATCCAGCAGGGAGGCAGTTGGTCCGTGGGCCTGGCTACCCGGCAAACGGATCTCAGTCGCAAGAGCGGTGGTGGGGATCGCGAGTCCTGGTGCCTGTGCTCCGACAATGCCACGCGGCACAACGACCAAGAGGAATTCCGGCCGGTGGTGCAGGCAGCCTGCACCACCCAACCATCGAGGACGGCCAATGGGATCCTGAACAACAGTGCTGCCAAGGCGGCTGGACTCATTGCCATTGAGGATTTGCAGCAGGAGGATCTACTGATGACCACTGGCGTGGCTCCATCCGATGTGGGCATCGGTGATTCATTGGTATCATCACCGCAGCGCGATTTTCCCGACGAGGGCGACATTGTGGGCGTGGCCTTCGATCATGTGGAGCTGAATTTCTATTTCAACGGAAAGAATCTGGAGGTTCCCTTCCGGAATGTGCGAGGAGCAGCTTTATTTCCCATTATCTATGGTAGGTTCTATTCCATTAAAGTAATTCAACTCTAAAATATCTTTTTCAGTGGGCAATGGCGCCATTCTGGACATTATCGTGGATAATTTTTCGCATGGCCCACCACCTGGATTCGAGCGCATTCTACTGGAGCAGTCGTTACTTTAGATAGTCCCTTCAGAAGCCTTGAACAAAAAACAGCTTGAGAACAAAAAAGAACATTGAAGAGATGACAAGTAGACAGTGCGTTTTAGGACTATAGGTCAGCATTTTATTTTAGGAATTTAAAGCCTTTAGAGTAAGTTTAGCAAAGAGGTCTTTGTCTCATAGCTATCTCTAATTTCAGCTTTTTACTGTAAAGATATCGATAGTTAAGACACTTACGCATTGAACTTAGTATATTTGGGTCTTTACTTTACCCGCACATTTAATTCCTTAAATAAAAAACATTTGCCATATATTCTCTCTCTAGTCAAAAATAAAAATGTGTATTAGCAGGCACCTATACACCTATTTCCCAAAAAGTAAATTGGCACCAAAAAAAATGTTTAAATGTTTTTCACATTTACCTACACATATTTTAAGAAAATCAGCTGACTTGCATCTTATAGTCGTAAAATGCACTGTTTTACTCATTTAGACATCAAGTGTATAAACTTTGTAACCTGTCTAGTCCTTGTACTCCCCAAACCGAAATGTATTTCTTTTAATTTATTTAAATTTTGTAAATTATTTACGTAGCTTGACCTCGCGACTGCTTGTGTATTATACACCACGATATGTATCTGTATACAGGATACAGATGAATTTTTTTGTAGTATCTAGAACGCCACAAATCAATTCAGACTTCTTACACATTCCAATTTACAATGGCAAACGTACTCGAGCACGGAATTACCTAACTAACTATAAGAATATATCTGTATATCTAAACAAATTGTATCTACATGTATCTAACGCTTTGAAAACTTATTAATCCGCGCGCGGACAATAAATCAATGTTATGTACTTAAACGATTGTGAAGGAAAGTCTTCCTGGTTCAGGTTGTCAAGGAACATTTAGTTTGATTACGGTTCGGAAAAGTATTTCTCCAAAGATAGCAAATTAATGGTTGAGCCCAAGATATGACAGATGTCCGGAAAGGGGGAGATCATTCAGATCCACATCGGCCAGGCCGGTGTGCAGATAGCCAACGCATGTTGGGAGCTCTTTTGCCTGGAGCATGGGATTATGGCCAACGGAAGACTAGCGCAAACACCCGTGGACGACTCATTCCTGACGTTCTTCGAGTTCACCAGCAGTCAACCATGCGTGCAGCCGCGACTTGTTATGATCGACACGGAACCCACAGTTATAGGTCTGTTTTTTCTAATAGCTGTGAAATTTGTATACTATTTTTATCTTTCTCTCCAGATGAAATTCGCACAGGTTCCTACCGCAATCTCTTTCATCCGGACACTTTGATCTCGGGCAAGGACGATAGTGGCAGTAACTTTGCCCGGGGCTACAATTTGATGGCCAGCGAGTTGCTGGATCGCTCCATGAATGCCATTCGTCGGGTGGCCGATCGTTGCCGGAACCTCAGGGGTTTCCTGGTCTTCCGGGCGATTGGCGGGGGTTCCGGTTCTGGTTTGGGCACCCGCATCATGGAGAGACTCGTAGACGACTTTGGCAAGAAGATGACCGTTGTGGAATTCCTGGTCTATCCCTCGCCTTCGTAAGTTGGTATTATAATAACAAATTTACCAAATACAATATTTTTTTGGCTTAAAATTTGGTTTAATTAAGTATCTTTTATCTTTATAATTGCATCTTTTTAACACTTTAAATACATTTTGATCTTGAACTTTATAGTATTTTTCTACCTAGCATAATCTTTGGTTTTTTTTTTGACTTTGATTTAATTAAGTATCTTTTATCTTTATAATTGTATAAGCTTTTATTTAAAATTCTATATTTAAACTTTGGTTTAACTAAGTATCTTTTATCTTTATAATTGTATAAGCTCTTATTCAAAATTCTATATTTAAATTTTTTTTAACACTTTAAATAAATTGTGATCTAGAACTTTATAGTATTTTTCTAAAAAGCAAAATCTTTTTAATCCCCAGGATCTCCCCGGTTATCGTGGAGCCGTACAATGCCCTGCTGGCTGCCCATTTCTCAATGGACTGCACCGATGTCTCGTTTATAGTGGACAACGAGGCGCTGTACGACATCTGTGCGAATACGCTCAATGTCCCGGCACCCACATACACGAATCTGAATAGGATAATCGGACAGGTTGTCTCCAGCTTTACGGCCTCACAGCGTTTTGGCGGCGGATCGACCGTGAGTTTCCAGGAGCTGCAGACGAACCTCGTGCCATACCCTCGAATCCACTATCCGCTGATCAACTACGCACCGTTGGTACCCATTTCGCACTCGCAGTTTGTCAACATGTCGACGGCCCAGCTGACGGGACAGTGCTTCCAGATGAGCAACCAGATGGTGCGCTGCAATCCCAGTCATGGCAAGTACATGGCCAGTGTGCTCCTCTACCGCGGGGACATCGCGCCCAATGAGATCAACACGGCGCTGGAGAACATCAAGAGGAACAGGTCTTTCAGATTCGTCGACTGGTCGCCCACGGGCTTCAAGATCGGCGTGAGCCCCATGCCGCCGTATTATGTCCCTGGCGGGGATCTGGCGCCCACCAATCGCGCCTGCGTGGCCATCTCGAACAACACGAACATCCGGATCGCCTGGTGCCGCCTGGTCAACAAGTTCGACAAGCTCTATCAGCGGCGGGCCTTCGTCTACCACTATGTGGGCGAGGGGCTCGAGGAGGGCAACTTCAACGAGGCCTCCGAGAATATCTGCCAGCTGGTGCACGATTATCTGGAGGTGGATGCCTCGGCCCCAACATCGCGGCGCGATTCCGATCCGGACGAAGAGTGAAGGTCATTTGGCAGCTTTAAACTAAAAAATAATTTTAATAAATTCTCTGTGTGAAGTACCGGCAGTCCCTCTTTGACTTAAATAAAAGATTAAAATACTTGAATTATGCCTAGCAAAGTTCAAAACTTGTCGCATTTGATAAGCCATTCGCGGCGCTATTGAATGGGCAAAACCAAATCATTGAATTTATAGCATCGGAAGAGAACAGAAGCTCGATTTTTCGGTGCGATACGGAATTGAATTAAGACGCGCCCAAATAACCTGTAATCAGGTACTTTTATAAGTGAAAAGTATTTTAAAAAAATAATTATATTATTATTTACAATAATATTAAAATAAAGCGAGCTGAAATACGTTATCAATTATTTAAATAAACACATTTTATTAAAGTTTTAATAAAGTTAGCCCGAGTTATGGCGCCAAAACCTGATGTCTGGATGATATGTGGGCTTATTTTCATCGTGGCCTCGATGTTGAACCCTGCTGAGTCCTCACCCACCCACGATGAAAACCTGGTTTTCTACGATCTCTCGATGAATGACATATTAAATATTGAGCGGAATTACAAGGAAGAAAGAGACCAAATAGATAAGTATGAAAAAACGGGCGGTGAGAAGGTGAGTTAAATGTATTAAAAATAAAATAAATATTGAACAACCGATTCTAGCACATACGTATTCCGGCCTGTGTCGTGGATGAAGAAAGCCATTTGAGCTATTTATTTCGGAGGGACTATAAAGACATAGGGGATGCTGCCATCCAGCTAGCTCAGGACTACGATAGTCTGCAATTATACAGTAGCCAAAACGGTAGTGGTAAATTCCTGACTGATTTGGCTTACAAACAGGGCATAAGATATTCCACGAATAATAAGATTATGGGATTCTATTGGGATTTCTACACTTTTGGACATCCGAATTTGATTGAAAAACTGGCAAGAGCCAATCAGCAAGCCACAATAACCTGCAGAGCTTCGCAGTCGCCCCAGCAATTCCTCTATACGTTCTTCATGCAAAGCGTTCTATACCAAGCGAAGAAGTACGCCTTGGTGAAGTGGTCCTACATGGTGCGAGCTAAGTCGGAATGGAGTGATCATATTTACTATAAAAAAGACGCTGAAGAAAATCATGCTGAAATTTTGGATACCATGGAGAAGGTTATGAAGAATCTTATAGTCACAGCAGACCGCAAGGTTTGGCGCTGCGATCCAAAGGACCACCAGCTGGGAGTAACCTACGAGAAAGTCACTCGCCTTCTGCAAGGATACATCGCCAATGAGTTTGATCTAAGCAAGGAACAAACATGCGAACGCGAATGCCCTGACTACAAATTCTCGAGAGATGAGGGTTACTCCGACAGTCCCTTTTCGTCCAGACACACCAGATGCTCTGGTAACGTCTATGACTGCCGTTTTGTGGAGTCCGATATGAAGGTGTGTGAGTCGGACTCCACCTCCGATAGGCGATACGAGTACATCCAGTTCGAAAGCGGACTTGTCTACGGCCAGAAGGGCACTTCCCGCGCTGTTACCAATGTGGAAAGCTGGCATCGCTGGATTTTCTACAGGTGCAGCTACTGCCTGTGCTTGTGCGATGATATAAGCCCCAATTCAGATCGGTTCTTCAGCCTGAGACCAGTGGTAGCTGACGTGGAGCGCAACAGGTGGGCTTTTAAGCATATAAAATCATTATTTGATATTTGACAAAACATGCTTATATCTTACAGAGTCGTTACGGGGGTGCGATTTGTAAAGCGCAAACGAGTTTTCCACCTGCAAATCCAAGAAGGTGACCTCTTGCCACAAGGAGTCATTAACCAGACCGAGTGGAAGCCCGTAGACTCATTCGATGTTTCCAGCAAGGATGTGAAAAAGGACGTTGACTTTCACATGCTAACCTATGAAAAGCGTTCCATCGATCTGGACGAGGTGAAAGTGAAAAACAAAAGCGTGGTTACCGGTCTGCGTTTCCGAGTGGATGGCACCCATCTTAATTTGGAGGTCCAATTTACTGAATTTAACTATGAGAGCGGCCAGTTAATTGAGCCGACTAAAAACAGCTTCTGGAAGTCAGGCGGCAGCGATCAACCAAGGTAAATTTTGAAAATATATTGATTCTATAATATTTATTCCTCAATCTCCATTTTTTCTAGGAATAAATTGCTCTTAAAGGATCCAAACGTGTCTACACAATCCAACTCTTCGCTTCCCCTTTCAAGCGACAACCAGTACATTGAATTTACCAATACCGGATTCAAAGAGGATGCTGCTCAGAGCACAGTGCCCTTCATCGATATCCAGGACGTAATCTCGGACCCACCGGTACCTCTCTCGGGGATCGGTATATACTATAAGGGCATCGATGGCTATGGTGGCTTCCTGGGCCCCAAACTGATCACCTACGACTTCTCGCCCCACTTCAAAATGCCCACATGGGCGATTCAGAATTCGCCAGAGAAAAAATCGACATAAATTAACGAAGGAGATAAGGCTCCGTTAGGCGTTTAAAAGAGGCATTATAATAAAAGAATTACAAAATAGATTTTTTTCACCCGTTAATTTGTTAAATTTTTCCCATACCTTTTTTAATCAACCAGTTTAGGGAATAATAAATTATAGCTACGTTATTTTTCCTAATTTGTTTTGCTACTCTGAATTCGAGCATTTTTGTAATATTTCAGAAGTACATCAAGCTAAAACACATTTTAACGATATAAAAATTAAGTAACAAATAAAAGTTCTTATCTTCATTTTTCAATGTATCTATTTATTGTGAATGTACCTCTTTACATTTTTTACCACAAAGCCCATAAACTTGCTTTGCTACATAAGCATCTACTGAATAACTCTGATGGTTTTTTAGGGAAATCAAGCAAAAAGTGCTTAAAATAAATTTAAAAGATTGTGGTCATAATTTTTAAACTATGGTATTTCGATAAATTACGCTGGAGAATATTAAGAGAAAAAGGTCTCCGATAATATCTTCCAGCTGGTGCACGATTATATGGAGTTAAACGCATGGGCCCCAAAATCGCGACGCGATTCCGAACCGCACAAAGAGTGAAGGTCATTTGAAAGCCTGTACCCAACTAGCTTTTTCAAGTTAAAGATTAAAATATTTGAATTATGCTCAGCAAAGTTCCAAACTTGTCGCATTTGATAAGCCATTCGCAGCGCTTTTGAAAGGGCAGAACGATGTCATTGAATTTTCAGCATCGAAAGAGAACAGAAGCTCGACTTTTTGGTGCGATCCCGAATTAAATTGTTTTTTTGCCCCAAATAAAGCCTGTAATAAGGTGTTATTAAAAGTGAAAAGTAATACAAAAGCTAATATTATTATTTACAAAACATTTATTTTTAAATCGAGCTGAAATACGTTTTAAAATTTTATTTGTATAAATCGGAAACATTGTCATTTGGGTTATCTCACAAAACTTTATTTGCCTTTAGGTTTCCTTACGTAATCTTTCAAATTGTGTTCCATTGTCCAGGGTATGGATCCAAAACCGCAGGTATGGATGAAATGTGGGCTTCTTTTGATCATGGCCATGATGTTGAGCCCTGCAGAGCCCATACCCACAAGTGACGACATTGATTTCTACGACATGTCGATGAATGACATATTGAATATTGAGCGACATTACAAAGAAGAAAGAGACCAGATAGATAAGTATGAAAAGATTTTCAACCGATTTCAGTACATACGTTTTCCAGCATGTGTCGTGGATACACAAACCGATTTAGCAAAATTATTTCGGACGAGGTATGAAAAGACGAGGGATATCGTGAGCAACCTAACACAGGACTACGATAGTTTACAATCAAACAGTAACCGAAGCGGTAGTGGTAAATTACTGAATGATTTGGCTTTCAAGCAGTATTTAATATATTCGGGGCTTGATTTAAAAATCGAAATCCTTCGGCTTTTCAAAGATACTCGATTTAAGACGTGTTTGGCTAAAGAATTGGCAAAAGCCAATCAGGTAAGTCAACATGATCCTCGGTCTGCATTCGAATATAATGTTTTCATTTAAGGAGCAAGCCAATAAAACCTGCCGAGCTTCTCAGTCACCCCAGCAATTCCTCTACACGCTCTTTATGCAAAACGTTTTATACGAAGCGAAGCAATACGCCTTGACTAAGTGGTCCTATATAGTGCGAGCTAAGTCGGAATTTCTGGACTATATTTTCTTCAAAAAAGATGCTAAGGAGAGTCATGAGAATTTGTTAGATCTCATGGAGACGGTTACCAAGGATCTTATGGTCACCGCGGATCGCACAGTTTGGCGCTGCGATCCAAAGGATCACCAGCTAGGGGTAACCTACGAGAAGGTCACCCGCCTTCTGCAAGGATACATCGCTAATGAGTTTGATCTAAGCAAGGAACAAACATGCGAACGCGAATGCCCTGACTACAAATTCTCGAAAGATGAGGGTTACTCCGACAGTCCCTTTTCGTCCAGACACACCAGATGCTCTGGTAACGTCTATGACTGCCGTTTTGTGGAGTCCGATATGAAGGTGTGTGAGTCGGACTCCACCTCCGATAGGCGATACGAGTACATCCAGTTCGAAAGCGGACTTGTCTACGGCCAGAAGGGCACTTCCCGCGCTGTTACCAATGTGGAAAGCTGGCATCGCTGGATTTTCTACAGATGCAGCTACTGCCTGTGCTTGTGCGATGATATAAGCCCCAACTCAGATCGGTTCTTCAGCCTGAGACCTGTGGTAGCTGACGTTGAGCGCAACAGGTGAGCTTTTAAGCATATAAATTATTTATTTAATATTTAAAAAAAACTGCTTATATCTTACAGAGTCGTTACGGGGGTGCGATTCGTAAAGCGCAATCGAGTTTTCCACCTGCAAATCCAGGAGGGTGACCTCTTGCCACAAGGAGTAATTAACCAGACCGAGTGGAAGCCCGTAGACTCATTTGATGTTTCCAGCAAGGATGTGAAAAAGGACGTTGACTTTCACATGCTAACCTATGAAAAGCGTTCCATCGATCTGGACGAGGTGAAAGTAAAAAACAAAAGCGTGGTTACCGGTCTGCGTTTCCGAGTGGATGGCACCCATCTTAATTTGGAGGTCCAATTTACTGAATTTGACTTTGAGAGCGGCCAGTTAATTGAGCCGACGAAGAAAAGCTTCTGGAAGTCTGGAGGCAGCGATCAACCAAGGTGAATTTTGAAAATATATTGATTCTATGTTATTTATTCCTTAATCTCCATTTTTTCTAGGAATAAATTGCTCTTAAAGAATCCAAACGTGTCCACACAATCCAACTCTTCGGTTCCTCTTTCAAGCGACAACCAGTACATTGATTTTACCAATACCGGATTCAAAGAGGATGCTGCTCAGAGCACAGTGCCCTTTATCGATATCCAGGACGTAACTTCGGACCCACCGGTACCTCTCTCGGGGATCGGTATATACTATAAGGGCCTCGATGGATATGGCGGCTTCCTTGGACCCAAACTCATCACCTACGACTTCTCGCCCTACGTCAAGATGCCCACATGGGCGATTCAGGGCTCGTAATGACAGATCAGCATTATAAATGAAAGAAAAAGAGATATAGTTTCAATTGGGCGTTAGAAAGGAGTCACTTTTTTTACACTATTTTTTCAAAAAATTCCTAAATAAAAAAAAAACATAGCAAGAACAAACTAAATAAGTTTTATTTCCAATCTTTTACGTTTTCTTGAAAAATTTTTAAACCTTTAAAAAATGTTGTCACTTGAACAGATCACAAAAGTCTACAGCGCCCAAAAAATTTGGTAGCGAGGATTCGCTGTAAATGATTAAAATATATTAAACATGCTCCACCCTACTCTTCCAATTTCGGCCGATAAGGAGGGTCACATTTGATAAGCCATTCCCAGCGCTATTGAAACGGCAAAGCAAATCATTGAATTTTTAGGTTTCGAAGAGAACAGAAAATCGATTTGTTGGTAAGATCGATAGAACGCACCCAACTAAAATCTTTATATTAACGTAAAGAGTGAAAGGTAATAAATAAATGGATTTATGCCACAATATTTTAAAATCTAAATAAATCTGTTTGAAATAGGCATTTTGTTGTCCAGAAGAAACCTTTGAAAATTAGTTCTTCCGTTTTTCAAGATATGAGCTAAAAACCGCAGGTCAGGATGAAATGTAGACTTCTTTTGGTTCTGGCCGCGATGTTGACCTTTGTAGAGCCCATACCCACAAATGACGACTTAGATTTATCTGATGTGACGATGAATGACATGTTAAATATTGAGCGGCATTTAAGAGCAGAAAGAGAGCAAATAGACAAGTATGAAAAAACTGGCGGAGAGAAGGTGAGTCAAATATGTTATAAATATCACTAGTATTAATCAACCGATTTCAGTACTTTCGCCTCCCGGCATGTGTCGTGGATCAAGATAGCTATTTAGGGATATTATTTCGGAGGTGGTATAGAGAGAACATAAGGGATGCAGCGAATAAGCTTTCACAGGACTACAATAGATTACATTCATACACCGGGTTCATCGGTAGTAGTGAATTCCTAAATGATTTTGCTAAGCAACAGTCTTCAAGAAGTTACCCAACGAATAATTTCAATTTCGATTTCCATATAATTTTCTACGATACCGTTAGTTTTATTGGAAAACTGGCGAATGACAATCAGGTAACAACAATCTATATAATCTTTCGGCCTTAATCGAATATATTATTTTCTTTTAAGTTGCAAGCCAATATAACCTGCAGAGCTTCGCAGTCGCCACAGCAATTCCTTTATACGTTCTATATGCAAAGCCTCCTGTACGAAGCGAAGGAATACGCCTTGATTAAGTGGTCCTATATGTGGCTAACTAAGTCGAACAGGCGGAATTACACCTTCTTTGAGGAAGAGGCTAAGACAGACCATGAACAAAGGTTGGATCGCATACAGACGGTGATGAAGGATCTTATAGTCACGGCGGATCGCACAGTTTGGAGCTGCGATCCAAAGGAGCACCGGTTGCACGTCACCTACGAAATGGTCACCCGCTTCCTGCAAGGATTCGTCGCTAATGAGGTGAATCTGAGCACAAAAGGCACATGTTTCAATGAATGCGCGGACTACAAATCTACTAAATTTGAGGGTCGCTCGGAAATATTTTCCTATGCCAGGAATACCGGGTGTGTTGGAAATGTTCACGACTGCCGCTTTGTGGAGTCCGATATGAAGGTGTGTGAGTCGGACTATACCTCCGATAGGCGATTCGAGTACATCCAGTTCGAAAGCGGACTTGTCTACGGCCAGACGGGCAGTTTCCACGCTGTTACCGATGTGGAAAGCTGGCATCGCTGGATTTTTTGGAGATGCAGCTACTGCCTGTGCTTGTGCGATGATATAAGCGACAACTCAGATCGGTTCTTTAGCCTAAGAACTGTGGTAGCCGATGTGCAGAGCAACAGGTGAGCTTTCATAAATTAATATATATTTATTTATATATAAATGCTATTAGTAATAGCCTATTTCCGATTTATATCTTATAGAGTTGTGACGGGCCTTCGATTTGTAAAGCACAATCGCGTTTTGCATCTGCAAATCCAGGAGGGCGAACTCTTGCCACAAGGAATCATCGATGCAAGTGTAAAATGGAAACCAGTGGACAAGTTCGAAGTCTCTGACGAAAATGTGAAAAAGGACGTCGACTTTCACATGCTGAGCTTTGAAAAGCGTTTTATTGATCTGGACGAGGTGAAAGTGGAAAACCAATACGTGGTTACAGGGCTGCGATTCCGAGTAGTTGGAACCCACCTAAACTTGGAAGCCCAATTCAGTAAGTTTAACTTTGAGAGCGGCCAGTTAATTGAACCGACGAAGAACAGCTTCTGGAAGTCTGGAGGCAGTGATCAGCCAAGGTGAATTTCCTGGAATCTGTATATTATTCCATTTTAATTCCTCCATCTCGAATTTGTTCTAGGAAACAATTGCACTTAAAGAATCCCAACGTGTCCACACGATCCAACTCTTCGGTACCTCTTTCAAGCGACAACCAGTACATTGAATTTACCAATACGGGATTCAAAGAGGATGCTGCCCAGAGCACAGTGCCTTTCATCGATATCCAGGACGTAACCTCGGACCCACCGGTACCGCTCTCGGGGATCGGTATATATTATAAGGGTCTCGATGGCAATGGCGGCTTCCTGGCTCCCAAACTCATCACCTACGACTTTTCGCCCAATGTCAAGTTGCCTACATGGGCGATTCAGAATTCGCCTGATACTAAATCGTCATTATAAGTAAATAAGGCATTATAATAAATGACTAAATTAATTTTACTTTTTTTCAACCTTCAATCGGCTTTAAATTTAATAGTTGCCTTTTTAAATTTTTAAAAAACAAAAGTAGAGTATTTTTTGATTCGTTCTTTAAAGACAAACCACTCGATCCCTTTTATTTCTTTTCTTTTTTGAGGCTTTCGTCAGCTCGAAACCGTTGCCCAAATTAAGTATTTATGGCTGGCTAAAACAAACATTGACCCAGCCTGTAATTTGCGTTGCTTGACCCCAGCCCCAAAAGGGTGGGAGAAGGGTAAGGTATATCGAGGCGAGGGGCGTGGCCGGCCAAGCCGATATGGGGTATAATTAAAATGATCGCAGCCCGAGGGTTTAGCACGTACCGAGGCAAAAGTCGCGCTTATCGCGATCGCACCCAGGGCAAGGTCTTCCCGATCCGGCATCTTCGGATCATCTTCAGCCCCGGGATGCCATGCCCCTCATCCCTTTGTTGGATCCTCCGATTTCCGTGTGACGTGACTTACGCACGCTTAATGCCCGATTATCGATGAAGGGATCTTGGCCAGCACGCAGACCGCTCACTTGGCCATCTTATCAGCGAGTTGGCTGACTGGCTGGCTAACTTTTGGTGTGGTCCTTTCGCAGGATGACCGCCTGTTATTAAAGGCATTATCATTATGAGATCCCGGTGCTGCCCTTCCGCCAATTCCTTTGTGTGTTAACTGTTGCTAATCTTAAATTGAAGTCGAGCCTTTTGCTTTTGTTTTGCAGCGTGAGAACCGCTGCGTGTGGTTTTAATCGAGAGGATTTCTTTCTTTCCCGTTTTTTTTTTCGGGGGGTGTTAATGAGCTAAAGGAAATGCCAAGGGACCACCTTGAACTGACTGTTAGCTTGGGATTGAGCTGTTATTTCGATCGACATGGGTTAATAAAGCAATTTGACCAAATTGCCAAAAGGAAAGATGGACGTTCTGAAAGGGGTAGAAATAAAATGGAAAATATGGGATGGCAGGGGGGCGATGACGCGACCCCTGTGCCATAACATTTGAAATATCTAGTTAACTCTGGGGCCGCTCTGACCTCCTTTATTTATGCACTAATCCGTGGGAAATGCTCGTCGAGACACCTGGGGCCGATTTATGCCACAAACGAAACGAACAAAAGGAACAGCAACCATTGCAGGCCCGCACCCGCAACAAAAGAGACAGCAATAAAATAAATTGCAATTAAAGCCGATTATTTAATGCCCTATATGGAATGGGAGAACTTAAACTCCATATCCCATTAAGAAATTTATATTATTAAAAATTTCATAAAATATAGTTGGAATTACACAAAAATATAAGATATACAAGATATACATTTTGGTGACATTATTTATAGATGGTTTTTGTAAAAAAGGTTTAGATCAATGATCCCTAAGAGTTCCATTGACAAAGGCAACCATTAAAACAGCTAAACATATAATCTAATACCAACTGAAATTAAAGCTAGTCAAAAACGATCTTTGCGATCATCATAGCCCACTAAAGTAGGGTATCTCGAGGAGGTAAAAATATTAAACAACCGTCGAGTGAATTAATAAAGCGCCTTGCGAGGCGGCCACGCATTAAACGACACACACCACGGAAAGCATTGCAACGAATCCAGGCAGGCCGAAAAGGCAGGAAGAGCTCTATTCCGAGGACCCGGGCCACATGTGTTCGGATTCGGATTCGAATAGATGCCACATGACTGACCACTCCAATGCACTGCACTCCACTTTTGTTGTTGTCCGATGCGTTTTTTTTCTTTTTTGTTCATAGCCGAGGGCAAACATTTTGGAATTGCAATTTTCGACTTCATTTCCAGGCTTTGAACGCCTTGGTTGCTTTGGGTTTTTTTTCTTCTTCTGCGTTTGGCAAGGAGACTTGAGTTCGAGGCACAAGGCAACACCTACCAAAGGCACCAAAGCCACCAAATGGGCAGAAAAAACACAACAGCCTGCTGAGCCAACGGTGGGCGGTTGAAACTGAGGCAGAGAGGTTAGGGGAGGGAACAAGACACTCAGGAAAAATCATATCTAATTTGGAAACATATTTCCAAATAATAGTCAACAATATAGTTATATAGAAAACTATTAAACAAATTTTAAAAGAGTGTAAATAACACAAACAGTATAATTTTTAATTTGGTTCAATCTAAAATATCCTTAGCGATTGTGAAAGAACTATAATTTAAAGCTTTATGTGTTTATCATGAAATGGATTGTGAAGTTTAATGTAGCATTGATTGATAGTCTTTTCTAGATGGAATAAAAATGGTATTATAAGGACAAAATAAATATATTTTCTGTTATCGTACTATTATTTTATTTTTTTTTCATAATCCTAAGGGATTTGTTTTCCCAAGTGTAAGCCACGCAGCAAGTGTTTCGATTTATGTTTTTGCGCCTCGGCCGCCACAGCTAGCCACATGCCACATGCTCTGGCCGACTCGACTGCGGCATTTTCATTCAAATGTTTAACCAGCCCCGCCGCAAGACCACTTGTTGCTCTTTTATTCATTCAATTTGTCAGTTTTGCACTAGCACAAAACGAAACCCAGTCCACTCCATTCCAGGCCGAAACGAAACGGAACGATACGAAAGATCTCGCACCCCCCTTATTGCCGCGGATCGGAGTCAAAAGGTTATCGCCACACTTGCCGCATTTATACGGCCTCATCATGTGGCATGATCATCACGACGATGATAATGACGCCGATCGCCGTTCTGGGCATGACGCCGATCTCTCCTCCGTTCCATGTTTACATGGCAAAATTATTAGTGGTAATATTTGTGAAATATTTGTTTTCTAATCTGTAAACACCAATCATATTAGCAATTTGAATATGACAGCGCCAGCTCCAAACAGTAACAGGCCTTGTTGTTGTGCCTTTTATTTGTACGCTATGATGAGGGAACATGGATACTGTGTATAAGTTGATATTGTTCTTAAAGTTAAGAAATATTTTGGTATAAGAAACTAATGAGAGGGACTAGAAATATTTAATATTATACATTTAGAGATGACACAGATTATAAGATAAGGCTTTGAAAAATAATATTCTATATCCTAAAGTTAACTTTTATCATAAAACAACTTACCAATTTAATTTAATTGATTTAATACAAATAAATATTAGATGGGATTCACTTTAAAGAGCATTTAAATGTTCGCTAATCCAATACACATCCCATTTTTATTGGGGCTTTTTGTGGTCAACGGTCAGTGGCTTTCGGCTAGTATTTTGGTTATTACATCGGTTTGCCCAGTTGGCTTCGATGGGTGGGTGGGTAGGTGGGGCGTGAGTTATTATCTATTCAATTGTTGCACTTTGCTGCTTCCTATTGCCTTGAGACATGGCAATGGAAACCAAAACCAAAACCAAAAGCAAAGCCACCTACCCCATCGCTCCTCCCTTTTGAAATTTGTGGCTGTGCAGTTATGAGGCGACTGCCATGAAATTTATGATAAATGCCAAGATCTCCGCGGCTTTTGAATCCGACTCGGCTCGTTAGCCGTCTCCCGAGAGCATCGTTTACAACACTTTAAGAGGATTTTACTGCAGTCCCAGTCGCCGCGACTCCATTGGCAGCCATTAGCAAGCCAATTGACATACTCCTTGACAGACAGTCTGAGGAGAGCTCTAAGTGCAGGGAATTTATCATTGACGATGAATCTGCACTCAGGCGGCAGTGGCGGTGGAGGAGGGGGCGTTTTGCCAAAAATGGCACAAATAACGACATAATTTGGCCACAGATCTGGCCAACATCGCAGATCAGCAGCAGCAGCAGGCCGCATTTGAAGGCAAATGGCAGGCGACTTGCAACATGCAACTTGCAACGACAATCGACATATGCAAATTGACTGTGAAACGCAGACGACGCATGCGGGATAGCAGCCAAAAATGGTGTGCAAATCGTTAGGCCACTTTGTAAATGCACTGAGTGAAAAATACTACTCTATTTTTTTAATTAAAAAAATTTAAATAAGATTTATAAACTGAAAATATTATTAATAGTATAAATATTCATTATTACACTAACCTTCTCTGAACAATAGAAAATATTATGATTTTTATCTATTATCCAAAAAATAAGTACAAATATATAATAGCTAATATTTTTCCCCCAGTGTTTTTCCAGTCGTGCCTCGCATAGCTCGCACATAAATAATTCAATTAGTTAAAGTAGAAATTAGCGGGCAACAAAACATTTTGTGAAAAGATTTGCCAATCTGACAGTCTTTGATCTCTCGGGGGCCATTTGAATTTGAGCCGGCAGATGACATCATTGGCCAACTAAAAAACGGTCAGATCAAATGGATTTTTTGCGGCCTGACTAAATGGCTAAATGCTTTGCTGGCTATCGGTTAGCATGCGAAAAGCCTAGGCCATGTTTGAACTTGAAATTCCATATTAAGTGCATTTTGAAATAGAATCGAATGGGTGAAACTGAGTCGGAGTCTATTGTGGTTTTGTTTTTCGTTTTTTTATGGTGGCATGGTAATTACTCTGGCTAAAAAGTCTCAGCCTCTTGGCCCGCTGCAGCCTTGCAATTTGAGCAACAAAAAAGTCAAATTCTGCACTAAACGCAATTAATCAAGCGCCTTGGGTCGTGCCTGGCCAAATGTTTTCCACTCCTAATGATGCCGTGGTCATATACTCCACTACCATCAACTGCCCCGCTCCTCGCCAGAAATTGCTCAAATATGGCCTGGGTCGGAGTTCAAGCCGACTGCAAACTGTGCTTAATGTCTCACTTATGGCCAAAAGACCAGACGACCAAGCCTCTCCAGTCGCCATTGCGTGAGAATGTTTTTGGGACCAAAAGCAGAAAAAATCGCGCAGCGTTTGTCAAGCTCTAATTTTCCGCAACTCGCAGTCACGTGTCTCGATGCCAATATCTTGATGGATCGGCCAGCTGGATATCGCGCATTATATGGCCTGATAATTTGGCTTAAATGCGTGGCCAACTCCACT